CTAATCACAAACACAACTATATTGAGTATGGTCATGTCGGTTGTTGTTGGTGGTGACTGTGCAACTGAGTCTACATTTACTTTGCTCTGTCCTTTGAGGTGTTTCCTTTGGGCCATTTAACTTACCAAATATAAACTTTGGAACACAGTAAAATGTTCTGGGTATAAAACCTTGACCTCTTCTCTTCAGTTAGTGCGTGCGTGCGTATGAATACATAAACATATGTGGAGCAACAAACATTACCTAGAATATCCGAATTACTATTCTACCAAAAAACAAGCACACATCACATCATGTACGCATGCATCCACATATATACATTTACACATGCAATTTGGAAAAACTTATCTGCACACAGATTGCAATGTGCAAGTGTTGTGAATTTCTATACTAACAATCTACCCATTGGTATATCTGTATGTATGTATGTACATCTGTACATGCACATGGCTATTATGTCACCCAAAAATGCAACCAAATCACCACTACCACCACTTCGTGCATACAAAGTGCGTACGTGTCTATGCATTCGTTAATGTCATTCGTTTGTTGGAGGATGTACTTTTCGTTGTTCATAGGATCCTGCCGTTGCTGCTGCCGATGGTGGTGTTTCCTGTTGTTTTGTTATTTATCTCTTGTTTGAATATTTTTTCAATTTTTATGGTTCAACGAACAACAACGACAACAAAAAAGGGAGAAGTGCACACATTACTTGCACCATAGGCTTTGGAGGTTATATTGGATTTGTATTAGGGTGTTTCTTTATTGTTAGGAATAACTTTGAAAGCAAATCTTATATCGTCTCAGGAGAATTAGCAAATGCTGTTTAAAGGGAGCCCACTTATTTATATTGAAGGTCTATTTCGGGTTTACCGCGGATCTTGTAGCGGCGTAAAATATTTTCTGGTCTCTATAAAGGGAATGCCTTTTTCGTGTCATCTATAAAGCGAGACCCTTCTCTAAGGACATAAAATATCTCTCCTAAGTTTTATAAGTCCTAAAATAGAGACCTGCGAAGGTACGTAGATGATATTTCAAAAAAATGAATTTTGAAACAATTTTAGGGAGAGCTGAAATAGCAAAAAAGATATATTTTTTTAATCTACGAAAAGAAATAATTTCTAAAGGATCCTGGGACCCACTTTTGGGCAGAATTGCTGTAATTTGATATTTTGGGTTTTTATACCCTCAGCCATATATTTACAGAACGTATATATCATTTGATATGGTCAAAACGTGCCTAGCCGAAATAACGGTTTAGACCCTAGGTCTCTTTGGACCAAATCCGTTTCAGGACATTTGGAGTCGATCTAGCGATGTCCATCCGTCCGTCCGTCTGTTTTTCTGGCTGGCTGGTACGCACGATAACACTCGAAGGGAGTATGCGATTTGATCCAAAGTTTGTACATCGTAATATTATTGTCAAACTTAGATCGAGTTTGGAGATGGGCACTATCGGTCCACTCTTTCTGGTACCTCCCAAACAAAATGTCTAAATTTTCAAAGAAAATAAGTTATTGCACGGAAACAGAAAGGATAATCCAATTCTGCTCCAACTTTGCGAATCCTAATATTTTCATCAGTGCTAGGTCAAGTGCGAAAATGGACAATATCGGTCCACTCCATCAGGTACCTCCCCCACAAAGGGTCAAAATTTTGAATAATTACAACTATTGTAAAATGTGATGTAAGGGTCCGATAGTCTTCAAATTTCACACATCCAAATAATTTTATTAGTCCAAGGTCTGGTGCGAAAATGGAATGTATCGGCCCACTCCATCTGGTACCACCCCCACAAAAGGTCGAAATTTTCAAAAAATATATTTTTTTGCACAGAAAGAGAAGGGATAATCCATTTTGCTCCAACTTTGCAAATCCTAATATTTGCATCAGTTCTACGTTAGATGTAAAAATTGACAATATCGGTTGACTCCTTCAAGTACCTCCCCCACAAATGGTCAAAATTTTAAATAATTACAACTCTCATAAAATGTGATGTAAGAGTCCGATTGTCTTCAAATTTCACACATCCCAATATTTATATTAACCCAAGGTCTGGTATTAAGATGGAATATATCGGTCCACTCCTTCTGGTATCTCCTCCCACAAAAGGTCGAAATTTTCAAAAAAAAAAAAATATTTTTTTTTTTGCACAGAAAGAGAAACGGTATTTCGATTTTGCTCCAACTTGTCAAATCCTAATAGTTGCGTCAGGTGAGGTGCGAAAACGGACAATATCGGTCCACTCCTTCTGGTACCTCCCCCACAAAGGGTCAACATTTTAAATAATTACAACTTTCATAAAATGTGATGTAAGAGTCCGATTGTCGTCAAAGTTCACACACGCTAATATTTATATTAACCCAAAGTCTGGTGTTAAGATGGAATATATCGGTCCACTCCTTCTGGTACCTCCCCCACAAAGGATCGAAATTTTGAATATTCATTAAGCTCATAAAACGCGAAATTAACAACCGATTCCATTAAGACTTGGCACATCTGAATATTTCCATCAACGCAGGTAGAGATCGGATCATTCTTCTGGTACCTCCTCTACAAAGGGTAAACATTTTGAATATCTATGAAGGTTATAAAACGCGAAATAAGCATCAGGTTCACTTTATATTTCGCACATCCCATTATTTCTACTAGCACAAGATCTGTTGTGAAAATGGTATATATCGGTCCACTCCTTCTGATACCTCTCCCACAAACGTTCAACATTTTTAATATCCATGAAGCTCATAAAAAGCGAAATTAATATCCGATTCCCTTCCAGACTTGGTACATCTCAATATTTCCATCAACACAAGATTTGTTATAAAGTTGGTAGAGATCGGACCATTTGTTTTGCTACCTGTCCCACATAGAGTTCAAGATTTTGAAAAACAAAACGCTCAAAGAAAGCGAATTAGGCTTCAACTCTCTCTCTCTCCCTCTCTCTCTAAATTTCACACACACAAACATTTTTGCTAACACAACATCTGTTGTGAAGATGATATATATCTGCGAACCCCTTGTGGTACCTCACCCACAAAGGGTCACAATATCCAAGGGTTATATCTGTAATAACTTGCAGAACTAGTCAGGGATTCTTTACAACTTGCTATATCCAAATTACGAAGAAAATGTCCAAATTAAAGTTGACAACACTGTTGCTATCGGTAGGACTAAACAACTTCTTCCTTTTGGTCGGTAACTTGATGAAAAATATCGTTAACTACCGAAATTATCAACATTTTAATTTTACCGATTTCTATCGGTAACCTCACGCATATTTTTTCATTTTCTAAAAATTATCACATATCTCATACAAAGTGAAGGAAGTGACAAATATAGTCCCATGTCGCAATATTTATTTCATATTTATATATTTTCCGATACGAAATTTATAATATTGGCCCATTCCTTCGGAACTTACTCCATAGAGGGTCAACAATTTGAATAATCGTAACAGAAGTCAAAATAAATTTAAATTATCGAACATTGGATGGGAGCATACATATGTCGGCAAAACCGCTTGATATTTTTTAACTTGTTAGCTTTTTCTATTTGTTTTGTAAGTTGACGCCTTAAAAACCGGTTTTCTGTTGCACGCACGCACACATAAATCACCAAATAAAAAAGTTCTACTCATTTTCACTCTTAAAGCAAACTCTATATCTATTTTGAGTGATTCTGCTCTCACTATAATGTTTTAAACAGGAGTGACTAAGGAGTGTTCTCGCAAAAAAAAAAAAAAAAAAACAAAAGAGTGAAGAGAAGACTCCGTAAAAAACTCCCACTCTTTGAGCAATCCTGCTCAAGAGTAAGTTTCGCACCCGAGTGAAAATGAGCAAATCTGAGTTTTAAGTATCTGTTTTTTTTTACGAAATATGTGACATATAGCTGTTAAATGATAGCTGTTAAAAAACACAAGTTGTAGTACTTGGTGGTACCTTGTAGTTTTAATTTCCAAAAACTCCGCCCGCCTCTGTGCCACACATGCAAACAGATACTAAGATATGGAATTTCATATTCTAGTCCCAGACGTTTCTGTAGGGTATTGATGAAGTGATCAGTCACTCTTGCATATTTATAAAATACCTCTCCAATGTCTTCTATTCAAAGGTCTGTTCTATATAGTCAAAATACCTTTTACGGACATTCTAAAGGCCTTCTGTGTTCTGGTGTAGAAATATATATTGATTGTATATACTCTACTCGACCCACCCTAACGTTTTATTTGTTAAAAGTTTCCATTGTATTATTTGTTTAGGCATAGTTTGTCCACTCTCTCTCTTTACGCCCTCCCCCTCCCCCCTGCTTTGCGTGTAGTGGCAATACAAAATATTCTATTTATGCATACCCATATTCATGGAGGTTTCTCTTTCGGGACAACATCATCGCCATTGTTTATCTGATCGTTTAGTAACTCCCATAAAATTTGAATTGACCCAAAAGTATATTCCTGTTTTTGTATTTACATTTAAGGTCCCCTATTTTGGCAAATAGCACAGTACCGCTTTGGAGCACACATATTTTGCGTTCAATTAATCTTGAAATATTTGCATTTTATGTTTTTTTTTTTCGGGGGTATTGTAAAATGTGTGCAGTTTAGAAATGGAATATTTTCGAAACAAATATTTGCGTATGCATTTTAAAAATGGACAAATGCATAACATTTCGGAACAAAGTATGTTCCCCTTTTTCTCTGCTGAAATGCATAATGAGTTGGAATGATGCGAATCCCAAAGGCACTTAATCTAAATTTTATTATTCGGAATTTTTGAGGAGTTTATTCTAGGGTACTCTGCTAAAATGCATAATGAGTTGGAATGAAGCGTATCCCAAAGGCACTTAAACTGAATTTTATTATTCGGAATATTTAAGGAGTATAGTCTAGGTTATATTGGATTATGACTGATATGTTAAAATGCATAATTTAGTATTAATTTTTTGGTCCTTCGACCGCCTAAGCCAAGAAGCATTATAGCAACAAAAAAAGAAAATTTGCTTACCCGTCTGTGTGGTACTTCGATTGAAGAAACTCTTCAAATAGCTCATCAGTCTTCGGTGCAGCGGTCGATGACGATGCCGCGATGAACGTCTCGATTTACCCTGTTCCACGTCGTCTTCACTCTTCAGATCGCCACACTTGGAGGCATCGACAATGATTTCTATGCTACGCTGTTTGCCACGATTGGAAGCTTGAAAGGAATGTTGTTGCTGCAGTTGTTGGTGTGAGGATTGTGTCAGGGCTGTTGTCACAGGAACAATTAAAGCATCACTAGGATTCTGGCCAGTGCCAGCTATGGAGGCAATATTTATTGTACTACTATCGGCGACACCAATGCCACCACCCCCACCACCACCAGATATGCTGCCTATTGATGAGGTGGGTCCGGGCTGTTGTTGGATCACAGAGCGGCTGGTACTGGCCGCACATGTATCCGGATGATGTGGATGATGATGTTGATGTAGTGACGTCTGAGAGGAGGTGGCAACCATCAAACCGCCTGCACTGCCACTGCCAATACCACCACCATTTGTTCCATTGTTGTTGTTGTTGCTGCTGGCATGTTGTTGTGTCAAGTGTGTACCATTCGAGGCATTTGTTGTACTGCCGCGATAGATTAATTCACTATCGTGTGATATGGTGCGTATGGTGTGCAATCCCGTGTGATGCGATGTACTGGTCACTAAACCCCCGCCGCCACCGCCACCACCACCACCATTGGCTTGGCCGCCATTTGATGAGCCATTTAAGCCAGTATAGTAGGCGCTGGCTGGACGTTGTACTTGTGGGCCCGCCATAGCAACTATGTGTCTGTGTGTGTGTAAGAGTGTCGGATTTTTCTTCTCTCTTTTTTTTGAGGCAAATGGTTTTCAAAGCAATTTGTGAAATATCCTTTTTTCGAGTTTTACTCGTTTTGCTTTCGTGTTGCTTCTATTGCTGCTGTTGTTGTTGTTAGGACTTTTAAGGGGATTTGTTTCTAATGGAGCACAAATTGAAAATGTTTGTGCTCTCGTCAATGGGGTGAGAGGGATGTGTTTTCGGTACTACCTACAACTATTGCCTGTGGGAGGGCGAGGAATTTTGGGAGGCTTAAAAGTTTTTTTGCTTAGTTACGCTTGTGTTGCCGTTTTTTTTTTGGCTGTGTTTCTGTTCCGCTTTGTTCTTTTTTTTTTTTGTTTTTTTTTTTATCCAAAGGAAATTGCCTTTTTGACTTCACTATTTAAAAATCATTTTGTTTTTTGTTTGTTTGTGTTGGTTCCGTTTAGCATTTTCTTTCAAATTTTACAATTTTCAGGTACAACATATTTTGGTTTGGCACTATTTTTAGATGATTTGTAAATAACTTGGGTAAACATTTTCTTTTCGTTTTTTGGAGAAAAAAAGGAAAACTCAACAACAAAATCCTTTTCCCCAAATTTTGAAGCTTTTCACATTGGTTCTCTATTGCAGCTGGGTTATAAAAAACTCAGTTGTTGCTATCACTGTCGCTTTTGACGGTTGCTGTTGTTGGTTGTTAGAATTTGTTAGTAAGTCATGTTGTTAGCCATAGTTTTTTTTTGCTTTTGTTTGTATTATTGTGGGGTTATTGAGACATTTACTATTGGACACATACAACAACAACGCACACTCAGAGTTAAACATTGAGCATTAATTGGATGATTGCATTAGCGTTTTTATCTGCAATAAAATACAAAAAAGTATAAATATAGAGACATGTATTTTACATAGAAGCATTTAATGAATTCATATGGAGAGCGAATTTTATATTTGTTAATGCTATGTTAATTTATATATGGGCACTAATTTATATTCAATTTAATTCTATAATGTTGAAGCTCTGCATTCGAAGGATTTGAATAATATAATTCAAATATTTTATTTGTAATTTGTAATGCAGTAAGTTCGGCCGGGCCGAACTTTGAATACCCTCCACCATTTGGAACCAATTAGAAAATTTTCAAAAAAAATTAAATCCATTGAGAATTCTGTTAAAATCTTTAAAATACCTAATATCGGTAGGTGCCGATATATGGGGGGATATACGATATTGTGGACCTATATAGACAAATCTATGTCTGGGGGTAAATTCCTCACAAGAAACTCCTTGTTTGGATTTTCAGATAATTCCATTGGGAAATGTGGCTAAAATCATCAAAATACGGAACATCGGAGGGTACCGTTATATGGGGTATATACGATATCGTGGACCTATATAGACAACTCTTTTCATATTTTAATTCGTTTGGACTGTGGCGTGATTACAACAGATGGACGGGGATTAATCGTCTTAGAATTTTACGCTGATCAAGAATATATATACTTTGTTGGGTCTAAATTGATTATTTCGATGAGTTACAAACGGAACGACGAACTTTATATACCCTCCATACTATGTATGGTGGAGGTTATAAAAATATGTACCATCCAAATTCAATGATATTTACAAATTTGTATTTTTGAAAATCTCTTAGATGCCAATGGCAAAAATACATTTTCGTTAATGGCTATAAAATTTGAATTAGTTTTAGTAACACATTGGCACAAAATTCCTAGTTTTCAATCATATCTGAGAGAGTCGAGTAGAATATGAAGGAAGGGCAAAAAATTAAAAGGCGTTTTAATAGTTTATATAGGAAATTCACCTAAATAAAGGGAGCAAATTCCCCCCTCTTCTAAATTTTTGGATTAACATTTCTTGCAGTCCGTACATTCTAGGCATACAGAATCTGCGTCAATATTACTGAATATAATACTGGGTCTATTTTCGTCAACAATGTTAACCCTCATTAGAATCTACGATATAATTTTTTTATACCGAGCCTTGTGGCTCGTGAGGGTATATATAATTTCATACGTCCAAAACGTGTGTCATCGAAATGACGGTCTTTGACCGTAGGTGTCTTTAATCCGTTTCTGGACATTTGAAATCGACCTAGCGATGTCCGTCCTTTTATTTGGGTGGTGCGCAAGGTAACTCCCGACAAGAGTAGCCAATTTGATCCAAAATTGGTACATCGTAATATTATTGTCAAATTATATCTGTTCTGAGATGAGCAATATCGGTCCACTCCTTCTGGTACCTCCCCCACAAAATGTCAACATTTTCAAAGAAAATAATTTGCTGCTCAGAAAGAGAAAGGATAATCCGATTTTGCTCCAACTTTGCAAATCCTAATACAGGGTGAAATAAAAAAACTGCAACCAACTTCAGACTGCTGTCATTTCTAAGCCACTCGCCCGACAGCTGTTAAAATTATTCCTGTGACAGCTCATTGTATTGTTTACAAGCGTACAAAAGCATTTTGGTGAGAATTTTCCAGAAAAGAAGTTATTCGTGGTGGAGTTGAAGCGTGATGCTGTGATTTCTTTATATTTGGCTGGAAAACCAGAAGTGGCTATATTAGAGCACTCCAGTATATAAATGTAAATAAATCTTTGGTGTCTCGCACCATCGCTCGTTACCGCGTTACTGCCGACGTCAAGGAAGTGGACGGAAGAAAACCGCAACATCAGAAGAAATTGTTCGAAAAGTAAAGAAACTACTTGTCGAACCCGCGTCGCAGTGGCTCACGAGCTGAAGATATCGCAATATTCCATTCGGCAAATATTGAAAAATAAGCTCGGAGTAAAGCCATTGAAATTCCAAAAAGTGCAAGTGCTTACACCGCAACAGAAAGAAAATAGAGTCAAAAGAGCTAATAAGTTGCTTCGCTTGGCCGTGGTGAACTGCCGAAATTGGTGGCTTTCTCCGATGAGAAAACATTCGTTGTCCAGCATTTTATAAACAAAAAACAAACAAAAAAAAAATGAAATATTTACTTGCCAAAAAGGTCAGCTGGAAATGTGTACCTTCGGTTGGCCACCAGATCTTAAGCGCCGGCCATAACAGCCGATGGTCCCTCTCCGCTCGTATTAATCGACCGTGGCATCAGAATAAATACCGAATATTATCGCGAAAATATTCTGGAGGGTGTATTAAAGTCTTGGGCACGCAAACATTTTGGTCGCAGACCTTAGACATTTCAATAGGACTCAGGACCATCGCACTCCGCACGCGCCACCCAAAAATGTTTACAAAATGAGGTTCCTCACTTCATTTCCAGCCCACAATGGCCATCAAAATCTCCGGACACCAATCCTATTGGACTATTGTGTCTGGAGTATTTTAGAAAGCAAGGTTGGCACTAAAAAATACCAAAGTTTCGATCACTTCAAGAGCAACATTCGGGCAGCGTGTGACGGTTTCATTGGCCGTTTGAAGGCCATAATTCGAACAAATCTAGATTTATTCTAAAATTTGATGCTACATCCGACATCAGTTGCTTCCTTTCAATAAAACAAAAAAAAAAAGAAAATGTAAAAATTATGGCGTTTGACTTTGTTGTAGTTTTTATCTCACCCTATATAGAGCTATAGCTCACATTACTAATTTTCGTCCAATTTTATGTTTTTATTTCTCAAAATTTCGAAAATATATATTTAGGATGAGAGGTCTCCGGCATCAGAAATCTACCTCTATCAATTGTGAAAATAGATCCAGTTAAGATATATGTAGCTTCTATTAGTTCCATCCAATTTAAGTGCTTCTAAAGCCCTAACATTCCGATCTTAATTGATACGATTTGTTATAGACACCTCTGCTAAATTTTCATAGTGGTAGTCTCGGTTTTTCGGACAGATGTATACCCCCAGCCTTGAGTTATGATTATTGAAACTGTTGACTCCTTTGTGGGGAGGTTCCAAAGCAGTTGGCCAATATTTACCTAATCCTATCTGATCTAAGTCTGTTATACATATTACAACGTGCCAGATTTGGACTATATCGACTATTTTCTATACTTTATATGAGATGTGCAAATTTTTGGAGAATGTATAAATATGCCTGAGGTGCCAGATATAGCCCACCGAAGTATTCCATTTTCATACTTCATCTAATACAGACAAAAATATTGACAAAATTTGAAGGAATATTTTATGCGAAATCATAAATTCCGATATATAAATATTCATATCAGATTTCTGGTTAAGAGAAATATTTAGATATAGCCAGTTGTAAAGAAGCGCCGACCCATGAAATTGTGACCATTTGTATATGAGGTACCAGAAGGGGATCGCAGATATATATCATCTTCACAACATACCTTGCGTTACGAAAAAAGTTTGTATGTGTGAAATTTGAAGAGAGTTGGATGCTTATTTCGCTTTCTTTGAGCCTTTTTGGTTTTTCCAAATCTTGGACCCTATGTGTGGGAGAAGAAATGGTCCGATCTCTATCATGTTTATAACAGATCTTGTGTTGGTGGAATTATTGAGATTTGCCATGTCTGAATAAAGTCGGTGAAAATTCGCGTTTTATGAGCTTCACGGATTTTAAAAATTTTGACTCTTTGTAGGGGAGGAGAGAACCGATATATTGCATTTTTACACCAGATCTTGGGTTAATAAAAATATTGTAATGTGTGTAATTTGAAGACAATCGGTCAAATTTTATAAGAGTTATAATTATTCAAAATTTGACCCATTGTAGGGAGGTTCTTGATGGAGTGGACCGATGTTGTCCATTTTCGCATCTGACTTAGCACTGATGTAAATATTAAGATTTGCAAAGTTGGAGAAGTGTATATATATTTTTTTTAAATGTTCAACCTTTTGTGGGGGAGCTATCAAAGTAGTAAACTAATATTGTCCACCTCCGAACTCGATCTAAGTTTGGTAATAATATTACGAAGTACCTAGTTTGCACCAAATCGGATACTTTCTTTGAGAGTTATTATTTGCACCAACCAGACAGACGGACGGGCGGACAGACATCGCTAGATGGACTCCAAATGTCCAAAACGCATATGATCCAAAGAGTCCTACGGCCTAAAATCGTTTTTTCGACGAGGCATGTTTTGGACGTACGAAATAATATATACCCTCTCTAGCCATATATATAAAAAATATTCTCTAGAAAACCACACTTTAATAATTAATTGCCACTGTTCAAATTTATAAGATCCTGGTTTTATCCTGAGAGACAGATGGCTTATGTTAGCCCTTGTTTATTAGTCTTATTGACTTGTGTATGGATTGGGCAACACCCATGACTGATATGCACATTCCAAAAATTGCCTTATGTTTGCTACAATACTTATTTTTATGATACAACTTTAGAGTGCGACTTCCCCGTCTCATTATACACACAAGAATCTATTTTTATTTTCCGCAGAACGAAAATATGTCTAAGAGACATTCTCAAATAATCAGCATATTTTGTTGCATATTAATCTTATTTAGTTTCAATTCACTTATGACTAATTACAACAGCCACCTAGTGTTTTGTTTTTTTTTTTTTTGCGTATCACTCGTGTTGTGTTCCGCTTTCTTTTTTTTGCCAAAGGCATATTTTTATCGTTTGTTGTTGATCTGGCATTTTTTTTGTCGTTTTTGGCCGATAAAAATAGCTAAGCTACGCGCTCATCACTCAAGAAAATTGCTAACAGCACACACATAGCATAAATGCGCCATGGTGCGTAAGTGACTCGACGTCGGCATCCCTTGTCGTTGTGAGGTAGTGTTACTAAAATTATACGCTTTGTCGGCTGTCATTTTTTCGTGTTGCCTTGCTGTTGATTTGGGTATTTTTAGTCTATTTTGCAAAAAAACAAAAAAAAAAAAAATTGCCTACCCAACTC